GTACTTGTGCATAAAAGAAGCAATGATGTGAAATATGGGACGATGTGGGGGCGGCAAAGCGGAATTCCCGAAGGCTTCTATCATTTTCATGAGTTGCGGGGCTGAAAAGCCTCCGCACAAGAGCCTCCGATGTTATGAGAGTATACCAGAAAAAGGGGCGTTCGCAAGTGCCACATTACACTTTTTCACACGGCAAGAGCTTTCTTCTTCATCTGTTTTCCATACTCCCATGGCACTGGGGAGCAAATATTATATTACTTTTGAGGAGGCAAAAAGAATTATGATACGGCAAGAGAGGCGAAATAAATATCCAACAGAGAATCGGGGCGGAGAAAAGGTTAAAAATGTGTTATAAAAGAAATTTTCATAAATTTCAGCTTCCTTACATCTCTTCCGTTTTTTTTCCCCTTGTTTATCGGCAAAAATAAAAGAAAATGTATGTGGTGCAAATACAAGGCCATTTATCTGCCTAAATGGAATATAAAAGCGAATATTCTCCAAGTCTTTTCCACTCATTTCGCCGTCTCTTTCATGTTGCATCGTCATGTGTAAAACTGCTTAGTCCTTGACAGGGAGTTTTTAAGGGATTCTAAAAACTTTCCAATGATATTTGCATTGAAAAGCTTCAGCAAGAACATTTTTCTCACCCACCGTATCTAATTTACAAACAAATCATATCTGCATGACATCCCTTTACCAAAGTGTCAGCATGGCGTGATTTTATCCCAAGTTTCGCCGAGAGAAAATTACGACTTTAATTTCGCAATGGCGTGAAATTACAATTTATTCCTCAATCTCGCGTCGTGGAGCCAAAATGGAAATTTGTGCAGAAAATGGGACCGTCAGCAGAACTGCAACTCTTGGATATACTCTCGTCAAATAAATTTTTCCCGCCACACAATGACGATGTAGCAATGTAGTCAGTCATCCGTGAGGTTGTATAGTTTAGTTGTGTAAAATATAAAAATTTATAGTTCCGTTCTGCACAACTTTACACCCCTCGGCGCACATGCGACAGTCGCTCTTGAGCTTCGCCAGCCATAAATGGAGGCTGATGGACAAGGGCTGAACTCCACGGGGGTCAAAAATATATATTATGAAAATTACACCCTTTTGTCTGCCACACAAGAACATTGTGCAAGTCTAGCAAATCTCCAGCGAGATGCAGAGGCGGATCAAAACAAATCTTCTTTTTACAAGCTTATTCATTAATCGCTCTTGTGGCGCAATTCTATTGCGCTCAAACAGCGTCCAAAAAGTTCGTGTGTTTGTGGCGATCATAAAATTGTCCAAACAATAAAATGCTGTCAATTGTAAAATTGAATTTGTTTCTCTCATAACCCATAAATTTAATATCCGCCTGATAAAAAGTGGCATTAATAGAGTTGCAAATCAAGTTATTTTGAAAAATATGAATATATCGCATTTGCCCATATTGATGCCGAATAGCAATAAAATTGTCAATGGGCAAAAACGGCAACATGAAAAGCAGTTTTCGATGGGCATCACGGGATATTTTTGATTAGGGCGCTCGAAGGGAAAAATACCATCCATGGGGACTTGCAAAAGGGTTTCCATGCACTTTGTGGAGTAGGTCAGAGAGTCAATAAATCGGCTCAACTTTATGGCCTAAGTGATTATATCCACCCCCAAAGAAAACTTCCATGCTCGTCATACATTTTGGGCGGAAACCGTAATAACTCTCCTATATCCGGAGCCCCTTTTTCACCTTAATACCCTCCCTCGCCATTACACGGTATAAATATTTAACTCCCACATATCGAGCGGTTATCACCTGGTTATTATTTATTATCACCCACGCCGGCCGTGGAAGATTTGCCAAGTGGAGATCAGAAATTTTTACCTCCAGCCGCCCCAAAGCATCCCCACACAATTCATCCTGCGGCGGAAGTGGGATTTCTGGCCATATTTCGCGTTATGGCTCACAATGTGAATCGCTTGATTATTATTTGTTTCCGCCCATTTCAGAGATACCAATAGCAATTTTGCACTGACAAATTCGAATCTGCCATCGCGGCAGTTCAAGGCGGGAAATTTAGGGAAAAATGTACAGTGTTTTTTTTCTCAATTACACTATAATAACATATCTATAGATGACCTCTGGCCACTGATCGTTCTCCTCATATTCACAGTGGTAGAAATTCTTCTCTTTTTGTCCTCGTGTGCTTATTGTGCAGATAAAGTGAACAGAATGTATGCCAATGCGAAAAATATATAACAGCCTAGCTAGAATGGCAAAAAGGCAAAATATGAAACTCTGTGGACTATTTAAACTCGATGACCACAAAGCATTGGTGACCTGAAAATGAAAATGTGTACAGAGATAACATGAAAATGGAGACAGAATAAAGGAATACCCTCTCATTTATGTTCTATAGAAGCGAAATACAGAGAGTATTTTATCGTGCACTCAATAAAGCATTATGCTAAAGTGATTAAAACATACTGCCTTAGGATTATTAGGTGCTATTAGTCAAAAAGTGGAAAAATCTAAAGCTCAAGAATATTCTCAGAAAGCTAGTTTCACAGCATTATAGCACAGCTCACTTGCATCTCATTATAAAGTTTCTGAAGTGAGAAAAGTTCATCTTGCAAAAGTGCCAAAAGATACAATTCTGGGATTTTCCATTTCCGTCCATGGTCAGAAGATGAGATGAAATTTCACAGTTGTGCCGGAAAAATAGTCTCCGCTTTCCCCTATTTCAACTTGCATAATCACGAAAGTGGATAATTTGTCAAAACGCTACATGGACTGAATACAAAAAGTCCCTCCTGGAAAATTTTCAAATCTTTTTCCTTATATATTGGGTGGGATTTTCCGGCGCCCGAGGCTTTCTCGCTCCAGAACAACAGCCATTTCAAGCAATGCTCCATCATTTGGGGCCGAAACCATCAATGCGGTGATTTAGGATGGGCTTGAAGGTGGAAAAAAGGCGAAGGAGAATATTTGTGTGGTAATCGAAATGGCAGAGTCACGTCGAGAATGAGCAACCAAACCGCAATTCATATTCCTCAGCCCCCCTCTTTTGGGGTTGCTTCACACATGAAAATCAACCCGATCGCGCGCCTCCCTGCAACTTTCCCTCGCACAGCTTCAGGATTTATGTTCTTACTCCCCATTTTGTCGTGATTGTTTACATTGATGATGTGAAAATATTGCGGTTTTTCTCCTCAAGACGCGCAGACTTTTGCAAGGGAGGAAAGTGAAAGCGAATGCGGTGTACGTTTTGATTTAAACGTCGAGCAGAGCATTACTTTAAGTGCCTGAAATATTGCCGTGGCATTACTCAATAATTAATTCAATGCTCATCACAATTCCTATTCATTGTCACCAGGCGTGAGTAAATGGCAGCACAGCAGTGAATATTTGGGATCAACTATCAATTCACTCAGTCACTCCAGCACTGTAACTAATGAGATGCGCGCCAGATTATTCTCATTGGGGGATAGTTGGGGGCGTGGAACTATGAGGACTCCTTAGTTGTCTGCAAACCACATCCAAATACACTTGGTAATGCATTATGAATATTAAAGAGGGAATTGTGTGTACATTTATAGACGTCATGTACCAGATCCCGAAGATTCCATCACCTACGGTTGGAGATTACCACCGGAGAGTGGAGGATTCGCGTGCTTTTAATGGAATGCTAATTGACAGAATTTTCGCACTTGCCGAACTTGAAATGGATGTGAATTTCCTCCATACAACACGTGTTCGCATTCCCACTTGAATTATCATTTAAATAAGCTCAGGCACTCGACAATCTTGAGCTCAACTCAAGAGGTCCATCGCACTTAGATTAGCCTTGGAGACTCGTTCGCTATCAATTTAATTATAGATGATGCCATTTTTCTTAAAGCTCCCCACCATCGGCGACTTATGATCACTTTATGAGTGAAAGTTGTTAAATTTTTCCACGTAGCGTGACACACTGAGGAAAGTGGATGAATCTGCAGGATTGGAGGAGAGAAACTTGGGCCATTATAGCAGGGTGGCAATTTATTGATTGACTCAATTGAAATATATCCCAGGTGGAAATTTATTGAATGGGAAAGTGTGAAAATCTCACGATCAGATGCTACCCACTCGATAATTCGAGTGGATCTCTGGGAGTGAGTCAAAGTGAAGTGACTTTGACCTGGTATTCTCTGATGGTGAATGAGAATGGCTGAAGTCTCACCGATATTGAAGAGGTCTCAGAGTAATGAAGGAGTGTGAAACTTTTATACTTTCAACACTTCAACCTTTCCACGGGCAAATGTGCAAAGTGTTCACATCTTTCTTGCCTTTTCACGAGCCATTTTATTTCGCATTTTGTTGTATTAAATTACAAAATCCCAAATTAAATCAATGTGGCTTCAATGTATTCTAAAACTGTGCAACTGCGTAATCTCATTAATTTCCCCATGAACGCATAAATGGACATTTTGTCTCGAGCTAAAAGCCGAAACATGTGTGGAAATCATGTGGAAAATTGAGTGTGAAAAGTGCCATAGAAGTGGTGAGCTGCTCGCGTGAGGTTCACGAGGTTAATCAGCAGTACAAACATATTCTTTTGCACTGCAGCCATATCGTGGCGCGGGCATCAATCTCAAAAGTCTCATATATCATTTTGCGCGTACACACTTTGGGGTTGGAGACACGCTTCTGCGGGGACGTTTGGTGCGGATTGGAAAGCAATCTCCTCGTTATTCAGTTGAATCACGTAGAATGGAGGGTCAGCCTAAATGAGAATGTTACACAATCTTTTATCCACACCCATTGAGCAGCCGCCGAGCAGAGCGGCCGGGAAAGAATGAACAAATATTGCGTTATTGTGGGATATTTCATCCCCAATAAACTCGGGGGCCAAAAGTGGTTGCTCGAGAGCTTTTTAGTATATGCTATGTGAAGGAGAAAGAGCGCAACCTTGTAAACACTCTGTGGCGAGCATTGGTACAATATTTTGGTCACTAAAGCTAGTCAATTAAAATTTCAGCACTGCCAGAGGAGGGGCCCCGCATCACGGGTGGACGACCACGATACCAAATCGGGGACATCGTGCGTGTCAATTGCACATCGGGTCGTTCTAAGCCGGCAGCCCATTTGAACTGGTTTATCAACGGTCATCAGGCGGAGCATTCGTTTATGCGGAAGTACGATAACATTGTCACTGGCCGCGAGGGACTGGAGACATCGATACTCGGGCTGGAGTTTCGTGTTCGAGTCAAGCATTTCCGCAATGGAGACATGAAGTTGAAAGTGAGTTCATTTCATGCTTCTGCATATTATCCCACCACTTAGTAATGGGAATATTTCACTACATGGCGAATGGAAATCAAAGGGAATTTTATTTAAAATATCCAAATTCAAAATGCTTTATGCATTCAGTCAGTCAATCAATCATGTAACACTGCTCACTATGGTGTTAATCTACCAACAATCCTGCATTTCTGTGTAGCAAAGAACTTTCGAGAAGAGGCGAGGAGATTTCGCGGAGTGCTAAATGATTATTCATTGCAGTGTTTGGCGACAATTGAGGACGTTTACTGGCGGACAAACGAGGAGAGCGTGGAGGGAGACAAGCCACAGAAGGCGCCCGTGCTGGAGTCCAGGGAAACCGTGCCACCCAGCAATTCTCGTGCTGATCGTGTCCAAGGTATGTGCGATGGGTATCAATGGCGCCGCGACGGTGTGTGACTGTGAATAAATTGAGTGACAACAAATTGAAATTCATCCACCTCAGAAGCGTGTGGAGCCTTTTTTCCCATCATTCGCGATATATGGTGCACATGCCATGGAATAAATCGCGACCAAATTCACCCTAATCTCTGTCCACTCGATTCCATACGTATATTTGAGCGATACATCTGCACCAATAGAATCCTAAATCACTCTTTTGCAAACATATTGAACTTTTGAAGAGGGGCGCGCATTTCGGGAAATACACTCCCCATATATAGCATTCGCGAGAATTTAGGAGTTTCAAAAGAGAGAGAGATACCATTTCCCATTTGAATATGTAAATAGGATAAATATTCACTCTTCAACAAAGGTGAACGTGTCATAGAAAGAGCGTAAAAAATTGCTTTGTATCGTTTGCAATGACGCTGTAATGTGTGTGTTTTTTTTATCTCTTCAATGTTCAACGCGGGTGATTTTAAATGTTTACGCGTTAGATCAACCCGATCAACCGTTATTCGACATTGGAGATATTAACTGACAAATATACTGTCAATAGTGGCACGAAAATCAATGCTGACTTTCTCACCGCAACAAGGAGGAATGCGTGATGGGTGTAGAAAACACCAGAGAGTCACATTGTTCCGAAAAAGCTCAAGCGAAATGATGAGATTTCTCAAAGCATTTCCCATTCCGCAAAACCACCACGGGATTACACCTCTTTCAAATGTATTAATACTTGTGTGAAGCTTCCGTGTTTAATGCCATCAGCAGACATGAAGGAACATCAGGAAGATAAATGAAAAGCTCTGTCACACCTTCTAGCTTTCATTCGCTCCCCGCCCCGTGGGCGAACCAGTATAAATCTTCCGGGAAGGGCGCTGAGAGCAATTATGCCAAATAATTCACACTGACTTCTCTCGCCAGCTGGAACGGGTTCATCGCAGAAAATCCATCCAGATCATCTATCGCTCTTCTGGATCATCACGCTGGCGTGCATCGTGAGAGCGGCCGGAGCGGACTTCCATGAGATGCCTCGCAGTCATGGTGTGATGCCACTAAGATAACTATCTGCTGCTGCCCATCGACCGAGTTATCAAATTCACAATTAAATATACGATGAAACGCCATAAAATGCCAAAGAGAGATTATCAAGTAAGTTTTTTAACATAAAGAAGTATATATATATATATATATATATACAAGTATATGACAGAAAATCCCTTTTCTCCAAAAAAAAAATTTAGATAAAATTTCTTTCGTAACAAAATTACAATGAATTGAGACGGGAGAATGACATTTGTAATGTGACAGGGAATGACAGAGGAGTCATTCGAATTGCTCATCGTTCTCGTGAAAGTAAACTGAATTGTGATTTAAGTGAATGAATAAGGCAAGAAAATATTTAGAACAATGACGATTTAGGTTAAACTAAGAGAAAATCTGTATAGCTTTTAAGAGAATAGGAATTAAGATGAAGAAAACCTAATAACTCCATAAATCATTAAATTTTAAATGTAAATTAATGAATAGTCTAAAAATCGCCCTAATTACTGTTTGTAAATAATAGTTGAAGAAATATTTAACAATGCATAAGTTTAAGCGTAGGAAAATCTGCGAGAAATTCATGCCAGATTTCCTCAAGTGAGATGGAAAACATCCAATCCCAAGAGGTTAATGGGAATTTCTGTATATTGATAAAGTTAATTGTGTATAAATGTGTATAATAGTTAAATATCCCAGAAACGAGCAACGGAAATTCACTGAAATTCCATTAATTTACTAAATAAACAGTCTTTAATTACTTTTCCGTTTGCAATCTTTCACCACCCCAAATTTTGCGGGAGGGGGTGGAATGCAACAAAAAGGCGGGCTTTTAGCTGAGTGATGGCAGTGAAATAAAACTGAAATTCACTAACTTTCCACCCACTTTCATTTTAAACTCATAAATACAGCGGGTATTTTATTATTTTATTTTCCGAACGAAAATTAAATCCAAACCATCAAAGCACTCAGCCAGACTTTAATTCCAATGAACCGTCACGCCTTGCATTATATTTTCTCACACGGAGATTCTCAATTGAATGGAAATAGCCAGATATTTTTATATTAGAAAAGAAAGATAATAGTGAGATATTTTTTCTCGGTACACTAAAAGGAAAAGGCACATGAATATATTTATTCGAATAATAATGAAGAGAAAGAGAGTGATTAGATTGAGAGGATAGTTTAATAATTCAAATTGTAGATAATAAATATGAAAAGTAACGTTAAAATTGATCTTATGTAAAAAGTGACATGATAAATGAGACACATTTCAGTCAATGTACGTAAAAATATCATCTTAAGAAGAAAATTTATTATATCAATGAACTATGTGAGTCTATTGTCAATTTTATCAAAACATATTTCATCAATTTAAGTGATTTCGTTCACCACAATTTTCTCTATCAAAACTCTTAAAGTAAAAGAGTTGTGAAGTACATTATAAAGTGTATAAATTTATAATATCATGTGGAACAGGTGCATTTCAAACGATGTAGAATTTATTTTTACATCAAGTACAAAAGAGACTAATATTTTAAGCACTTATTAACGAAATTATTCCAAAAGGAACTCTCAAATAAAATTCTATTGAAAATCGAATCAAATTCACCAACATCATTTACATAAATAAAAATTATTTGTACAACAGATTGAATCAATTGTGTAACAAAAAGTGTTTTCAAGGAGTTTTTCCAAAACAAAAATCCGAAACATTGTTGTGTAAATTATAACTTTTTTCTACCATCTCTGATAAACATTTTCATGCATACATATATAGACATTTTCCATTTGATCGAGTATTTTCGTATATGCAGGTAATTTAAATTGGTGAGAAAAAATGCACAAAAAGTGCAATCGAATGAAATTCATCATGAAAATTCCCATCAAACGAAAAATATGATCATGATTAAACCTCATATATAGGATAAAAAGGGTTATGAATAAAAATAGTACATGAAGAAAATACACACTATAGAGTAAATATAGAGCATTGACGAGGCAAAAAAACATTCGCTGATTAATGTAAATACTCTCCGATAAAAAATAAATTACATTTGGAAAGAATGGGAATCTTTAATGGACGATGAGGTTATTTTTTATTCAAATCATCCCATTTAACAGAATTACTTACTGCAAGACATCATATTATATAATTTTGCATTCAATAAAAATTTAAAGAATTAATACCTCTTGTTGAAATCGTATATATGTAATGAAATGTTTGCAATTCGCTTTTCTGTCTTTCTCATGGTGTCTAGTCTTGACAACATTCTCAACAGGGACACTCCATTTGGGGTGGAAGGAAATGCGAAATGATAAATTATTATTAACCTTCTAACAGACATTTCTGCCAAAATAAGAATGTGGAGCTAATATCTGTCGATGGGAATAAAGTGTGAAATTTATAAATCGATTGGTAACCCAAATTTTTCTTCCAACATCCCAAGTGTCCAATATCTAGGCCTCGACCATCTTCTCCTGAGTATCCAAAGGAAGGCCCGCCAGTGCAACCACCCTTCATGGCACGTGACTGGGATTTTTCATAGACACAGGGCACTGTTCCCGGTGTTCACAAACTCTACGAATTAGAGGATGAAGAGGACTTTTAAAAATGAAGAAATTATTATCATTTCATGACTATTTTGGCTTCCTTTCACTTTGGATGACAGCAAATTTGTCGATTAAACGTTAGCAAACACCAGAACTTTAACATGCTGTTGAACATTCAGGTTTGTCGTGTGTTGCTCATCTATCCACATATGAGAGAAACACACAGAATACATATATTTTTTTACTACATAGTAAACATACACAAAACCAACCCTATATTCTAACCATCTCGATTCAAAATGCTGAAAATTTAAGCAAAATTCTGTATAAAGACGTCGAAGCACTCTCGAAATTTCCGATTCACAGTGAAATTGTATTAAGTGAAAACACATTCTTCTGCAAATTAAAATTCACCACGTCATGGTATTAAATATGTCTGGGACATATACTTGAGGGAAAATCAATTTCCTCAAATCTCGCATTCTGTCGCCTCAGCCACCATCTCCACATTGTCAGCCCACTTAATAAGAAAGCGACGGAGAATCCGTATTGACATCCCCCGCCAAAGAAGTCCCTCTTCTCCAGCATCTTCACCACCACAACCGCTTCGTGTGCCATGTAATCCAATAATATTTGCTCGCCAACGAACCACCCAGTAATTATTCTCAAGTGGTTCGATTTCATTGGTCACACTCAAGCGAGAGCGTCTCAATCTACTCAGGAGGATCTATTGATTCTCAGGGAGGACAAAAACCAAGTGGAGCGACTCCACTCGGATTCAGAAAGTTATCGGGAACAATTTCCGGATTGCAACGAACTCAAATGTTCTCCATATTGAGTCCAGAATATTGTGGCGAGCATAAAAATTAAACCCTTATTCTGCTGAAATAAATCAAATAAAGCATGGGCGGAACTCTGTTGGCGCCGTATTTCATCTTCTTCCATACACACAATTCCTCTGGAATCCTCACATAATATAAAATTGTGTCTGTGGATGATAAATAATGATGATGCCACCCACTGATGATAACTGGACACGGAGGGTGGACACGAAATGATGCAGAAATGTATTAAGGGTGAAAGTATGGGAAATGGATTCAATTGAATAATTCAGAGATTGAAGAAGTGTGTTGCGAAAAATATAATGGGATTTTCTATCACTTGCTCCAACTTGGCAGCTTCCTCACGCTTCACGACTATTCTTTCTCCCTGTCTCAATGCTTCAGATTAAATTTTCTAAGCTGATTTTACCTCTCGCCTCTTATACTTTTCAATAATCCGCTTTCATTTTTTCCCACTCACTTTTCGATATCTCTCTACAGTCCTTGTTTATATAAAACGACAAATTGGTATGTTAGAGGAGTCATCAGAGTAATGTTCGCAATCTATATATGTATAAATGACCTATAAAAACTCACCCAGTATTTCCTGAGATTGCACAGTAAAAGCGGAGATTGTGTGAAAGATATCATTTTATAAGAGCAAACTTTCCTCAGCTGATTTCTCTATATGTAGGTACATACATATAACTATTAGCTAAGGAGTCAGTGAAGTGTGTAATTTTATTTCCCGTAATCATCCTCACCTGATTCACCCATAAAAATAACGAGAGACTCCCACACAAATGGACAGAAAGGGCATGAAATATCCATTTGCTAGATCGTAAAAATTGCATGGAAAGGAGAATATAAGAAGCTTTGCATCTGGATGCAATTTCACGCGATTAAATCTCATGTGTATGCGATGTTTATTGCTCTTCGATTTCGCTATGATGCGCGCCATTGAAATTCTTCACTAGACACTGATAAACTCTCAGTTCAGTGATTTGTGATGCTGCTTTTTATCCCATTTTCAATTAATGACCATTATCAGATTACATTGATAAATCACATAAATATCGCCCACACTCAATTGCCATGTCCTCTTTTTTCCACAATTGCGCGAGCTTTGCCAACGCAGTTGAAATTGTTATCAAAGTTTCAGCAAATGGTTTAACCCCGCACACTCTCAATAAATTTTGCAAAACCTGCAAAGCCACAGTGCAGAGTTTGCCGAAAAAAGTGGGCCTTTCCACTGGTGGAATAAAATGGTAAAAAGTAGAATAAATAAACAAAGATATTGATTTACAAAGTGGTGTTTTGTAATTGTACAAAAAACACTGTCATTTCATCCTACGCGATAGTTTATTCGAGTTACGATTTCATTTACTGTTGTTGAAGCAAATTATTCTCCTTTTTTGCATACGTTCGCGCATTATCTTTGCTGATAGTGACACAGCAGTGAATTTAGTGTTATAGCTGTTTCATGACGACAAGCATTGAGATTTTGAGAAGCATTTTCCAATCTCCTGTGCATTTCACTGAAAATCCTTTCGCTGACTAAAAATTAATCAGTGCACTTCGCGATAAAAAGAGCGATAGAAGCACGCAAACTTTGACTGCAGATTAATATGATATTATCAAATTACTCAAACCAACGTCTCAGGAGTCAATAGACGAGAGTCTCGTGATTCAAAGTTGAGAAGTTGAGTGGAGTGTAAGAAGATTTTAGTAGTGGAAAATGAAAAACTAACATGATAGCTGCATCTGGAAGAAAGAAGACCGAATCTTTGGCGTTGGAGATTCATTTCCTTTAATAAATGCAAAAGCATAATGTTGGTGCAGGAGGAAAACTCAATTTTTCTCTACTCACACCCATGTAAATATGCACGGATGCTGCTGAAATGAACATGAAAACTTAATCAAGTACATTTCCTTTCGCTTATCTTCTTAGCTTTCGGAGAATTTTTTGCATAGCACACTATTTTTCTCTCCCCAAAAGAAAATGCACTTCTTTGGATGTTCCGTTCAATTCTCAAGTGAATATGTACTTATTTTGAAATCCCATTCTATTTTGCTTGACTCCAATCACAAAAGATGAATATAGAATAGCGCATTAATTCTTCCAATAATAATTAATCCCATAATATTAGTTGAAGTAGATTAGAATGAGAACATCATTCAGTGCTGAATGCCAATTTCTTCCGAATAATTTCCAACATATGGGATGAATTGCTCGCTATATGGTCTCACGATGGACATAAAAGATACCGCATGTGACCAAATTGTGGTCATATAATTTACTTTTATCATTCCTTTCAGTCCAATATTTCTGTGTGGTGCGTCTCTATTTGTTTGAAAGGAAAAAGTCCATTTAGGAGGTCATTCTATCCTTTCGTCCAGACACAATTGTCCCTGTCCGCAAAATGAACGATGCCCTGATTGAAGACAGAAGCATGAGAAACTCCACTGTTATGTGCTGATATCTCATGTATTATGGAATGGGACTTTTTGATAGTGCCGGGGAGTTTTATAGATATAAAACAGTGATTGTGCGACTTGTATTATCGCAGCATTTCCCAAATGCCAGCCATAGCGTGAGGAGGTGGAAAAACAAAGAGTCGTATAAATGTGTAGCCAGTGAAGGAATGAAAAGCTCAAATTCCTCTATATATTGAGTGACAATAAAAATAAGAGTGGAGAAATGCAATCGTTGCTCACTTTTCCATCGTTAAGATGCCTCCACCTCTTGGCGACAGACACCCAAAACCCTCCTTGACGGTGTGCGGCGGTGTGAGTTGTGAGAGCAAAGCTCCACCGACGGCGGAAGTGGCATCCACCCCTCACCCACTCACATGGCATTCTTCTGGGATGTTTTGTTGCCAGTGGCTGCGGATGGAAGATATGTGTAATCGCTTTTATCGGTTCCCCATATTCTTCCTCAATTCCTTTTATTTCCCATCATCTTTTAACACTATTATCATTACATTCTTGTTGTTAACTAAACGAAGCTCATTTTTAACATTCCTCTGTCGTCCCTCCTTCTGCACACTCTCCTGAAATCTCCGGATTTTTCGCAATCTCTTGCTGTGGTGTTTGCGCAACACAAATAAAAGTATTGCAATCCGGATGCAGCTGACAACCCACTGTTTGTTATGTATTTTGGTGGCGGAAAAAAAGCATTCAGGCATTTATCTACACCGCAATTCGCTTGTCCTTTACGGAAATTTGTGATTATGGACCAAAATCTCACAATAATTTTTCCTGTTTATTCACTTTCTGCAAGATGGACATGAAATAAGTGCGCGATTCGATTCGATAAGAGTTCAAGTTCTTGTCGGAAATCCCTGAACCAATTATTTGAACAGGAAATTTGTGGTGAAATTCGAAGAATTTCTTTCCTTAAAGCTAAACTTTAACACACTGTATCAGAAAAATCATTGAACATCTTTTGTATTTTCTCTAAAATCTGGCGCGACAGTCGAAACCTGCGATTTTCTTAAGAGATATTATAACCGTTTGTCCAAGAATATTATTACTGTACTCGTCAGTTTCAAATACAAGAACTTCCAGGAAGGGGAAGAGGGAGGATTTCGGATTAAAAATTGGCCATTTGACGCCTCGCATGATGTGTATGATTCATTATCGTGAAGTGTGACCGGACTGACAGGTAGAAAGGCCATTTCGTGGCCGGCCTGAGTGAAATACTGACTGAATACCACCTTTCACACTTTTATGATTTAGCGTGATGTTCCAGGAGTGAGGAAAAAAGTGCCTTCCTCTCACCGAATATCTGACAAACACTGCCCATAAAGCTCTTTAAGTGCCATTCATCATCAGGTGCACTACACACCATAGTATGTATAATTAAAATTTTAATGAAATATACTCACCTTTCAAGAACATAACCCACTCTCGCACTTGATTATTCACACCTTCAGCATCATAGAGTCAGACAGCGGAAGGGTGCTAAACCTCTGGGTTTTCACCCCTCCAGCCATCCGGCTTCTG